GAGAGAGAGAGAGATGTCCACGAAATTCATTAGCTCTTACCTTTACAGCCCAATTCTTGTCCACCAACAGATTTGGAGATTTCAAATCCCAGTGAACTATGGGAGGATTAAGGCAGTGAAGGTAGTTGATAACCTTAGCCTGAATTAAAACATAGACGGAATGATTTTTATTTCGATGAAAAGAAACAGACAAATTCCTATAATAAAATGTTATCATGATTACATAAATTAACAAAACACCACAACTTCACATGTACTGACCACATCGAGAACCATGCGCAATCGCCTCCTTTTGTCTAAGATCTCGTTTCCAGCAGTTCGATGTATTAGACGGTAGAGGCTACCCCTGAATTAAGGTGAAAGTTTCTCAAGACTATTGATAACTCAATGAAGCCAAAGACTAAAGGATTTTCCTCATTTAACCAAAAGAAAGAACATCAGGCATAGCATATAAAGCCTTATGTATGGTACGCAGCCAAGACAGCCATCAGCAGTTCTCTGCATTGGGCAGTTGAGGTTACCCATGCTTCCTGATGATGGGCATTGACCTCCATACACTTAATCTCCATCATCAGCATTGAGAATGGAGGGTGGATGCTTCACCAAAAACCACAAACAGGCTATCCATGGCATTCTTTCTATCTTTCCATTTTTTATCTCCCTATTTCTATAAATAAGGAGTGATGGACCAGGTTTACCTGGGTAAATATTCTGTTACTATTGAAAGATGTGGAGGCTTTGTTACAGCACCCATAAAAAGAACAACATTTGGATGGCGTACACGCTTCATTATTGCAACCTACAAGGATTCAGGAGTTAATTAGCTGGGTAAATTGGCTAAGAAGAGTGAAGAAGAAATCATAAATTTCTTTTTTTTGTCTTTCTTAATGGATATAACATTTCATTAGTGAGTAAAGAAAACATTCATTAATCTAATCCTTTTTACCTATCCATCCACCAACAATGACCAGATGCCCTCTAAGACGTAAATATTCAAGGTCGTGTGCTCAATGATATTGAACTTCTATTGCATTGTTGATGATCCTAATAGATTGATAAGGGATATAGTAACATCTGTAAATCTAAGAGAAATTTACAAAAAATATCCCTTTAAATTACAATTATTAAAAAGATCCCCCTGAAAATATGAAGATTACGTTCATACCCATTTTCTGGATTTTTTGTTTTTTCCCAAACTCCCTTAGTTTGGATTTTGAAAATCCAAAGTTCTCTTTGAAAGTTTCTCTCTAGCCATCAGCAAGCATGTGGGTTTGCTGGATACACAGAAAACTTTTGATTTTCACAATCTAAGTTTAGGAAACTTCAAAATTTCAAAATCCGAAGTATTTGTAAGCCTTACAACGACCTAAAAAGAGGTCTAAGTGTTTTATCACAAATGTTAAACTTCGGAACTTCAGGATCTTAAGTAGGGGCAATGTTGTCCTTTAAAAGAAGCGAAAAACTTGGGTACGACCATAATAATGTAAAAAATTTGTAGATTCCTTAAATAACGCACTTTGGGAGGATATTCACAAAAATTATTCTAAATCTAATTAAATCTTTATACCTAGTACATATGCACATATCATATATTGTTCTCTTTAGGGTAAACCTCATTTCAAGGCAGACAAAAGTACCACCTAGATGAAGAATGTTAACATGAAAGATTCTACTTGCTCCATAATTGGCTGCTTCCATTTCTCACATATTTCAATGTTGCCGAGATTGTATGAAGGCAACATCACATTAAGTTTAATTCCGACACATTTAAGAGCTTCACAGCTGTGTTTTTTCTAAAGGCTAGGGCCGACTTCCACCAACCTGCCCTAGAAAGAAAGGAAGTGAATCATGCTGCTAAGCATGGTGGCAAGTGGGCCACGATCAAGGAATATCTTCATTAAAGAATAATAAAGAAATAGTGGGAAAGGATTGGAGAGGAACAATAGTGTTTTTAAAGCTGGGGCAAAACCAAAAATATTTCTTAGAATTAAGCATGAGAGGATAGGTTACTTATCAAAGAATAAGGCATGTGTGATTAAGGCTGGAACAGTCAGATGGTCAGTCACAATGAGGTGTCATTAGGCCAAACCTAAAAATCCAATAACCAGATATGAAGAGAGGTCAGGAGTGCTGGACTGGAGTTTCATGTAGATAAGGGCCTGAAAAAGGGGTTCAAGGGTTCAGTGATACACAAACTTCTGCCAACATGGACTTTAGACCATTTCTTGATAAGGAAGTTGATAAGTATGTTGACTGAAGCAGATGTGGGAGATAGTACAGGGGTGTGGTTTTGGTGATGATGTGGCTTCATCCAGGGCACTAAAACAGCACCTCAAAACTCCATTATTTGATGGATTGACGACCCAAAAGGCCAAAACCACTATAATCCACATGCAATTCCATTTACGCCCTATTAAAAAAGGTTTTAGGAGCTCCTAGAAAGCTCCCAATCACGTCGATCTGGAACATATGGTCCAGAACAGATGTTGAGAGTCTTGAAACAGCAGTCAAAATGGACCATTTTTAGGGCTCCAAATCATTTTTCGTTTTCGTTTTCCAGATCCATGGTCGTGGTAGGCAAGCAAATGGATCTGCCGAGTTTTTGAATCTCAAAACACCCAAAATCATGGAGAAATCGGATGCAGCTTTAGTCCTAGGGGGCTACATCTGCATTGTCACCAAGCACTTCTCCATATCAAACTTAGAGGTTTTGAGACAGACAAGTGGAAGCACAATGAAAATCACAGCGTAATAAGGTAAGGCCCCATATGGGAGCATTTTTCAGCAATAAAACCAATATTTCCTTTCACCCATTTAAGATTCATAGGCATCCCCCACTATTCACATAGGGAACCTATTTTGCGTAAACCCCGCATGTTGCCAAACTGCCCTCAAACCTCCCGTGTGACTAAAAGGAAAAAATATTGTTTATTCCTAAAAGTGGTGGACTTCCTCGATATGACTACGACTACTTTAGACAACGGTTTTTCAGGAATAAAGGTGGCCAAGGTCTTTGATATGATTGCTAAGGTGACCAACTGGGGCCTCAATGAACAAAAAACATAGAAATTTCATTACAGCAAGATGGTCAGCATTTTAAGGAGGCATGCCAATTATATTTCATGACAGATAACAAAAATGATATGAGAGTACCATTACACCAATTCATCTCTCAAGTCTAAATTTACAAAAAGGAGACAACCAAGTCTCTTATAAATACCAAAAAGAATTCTTGAATAATTAACTCCAAGCCATATTAAACCATTGAAAAGGTTCGGATAGAGATAGATTTCAAAAGCACTAAAGGGGGTTGTACACATCCACACAGCTAGTTGATCCTTCAGAAATTCAAATTTACGACTTCCACAAGAACAAAACCAAATGTCGAATATCAACAAGACTAAAGTTTCAAAACAGTAAGAGTAATATGGTCAGCACTAAGTTGAATTACCTCTCTTAGAAACTCCTTCAACTGATCTTCATGAAAATCCTGGTCAGTGAGAACCTTAACAGCAACATCCTGCACAACACATATTCAGTAAGAGAAATGCATCTTCTTAAAGACCTAAGTACAGGTCAGTCAACTAGAGATAAAAATGGAAGGAAAATAAAGTAAATGCACAAAAACCTCAAACGAAGAAAGTAAATCGGAGAAAATGGCTGCTTTCCTAAAAATATATTACCAAACTGGTGTATGAAGAATTGTTTGGATAGACAACGGTTCTTTAAGCAATGTACATGAAATCCTCTATCTCTGAAGAAGTGAATAATGCTTTGTTTGACAAACACTAAAAAGTACAACATGGCCCCAAAGTCCATAACATAATATGAAAGATCCGATAAAAAAAGATACAAATTTCATCCTTTTCACAATATTACCTAGGCCACCATGTACCTCATGTTGGCAAAACTTCAAACCGCTTAAACACCTGGCTAAAGCAGACCTTCGTTTCTCATTGGCCAGACATCATCAAGTTCAAATCCCCTAAGCCCTCTCCCCTGTGAACCCCCCAACCCCCCCCCCCCCCCCCCCCCAATACTAGGGCTCCATCCAATTAAATTTTGACAGCTGTTCCTTGGAAACCAGTGACTCCGTGGTTTTGGGGGAATTTTCAGAGATAACAAGGGTAATACTATCTTCTCCTTCACTGACTTCCTTGATACTGGGGATTCCACATGGGCTGAGGCCAATGCTTTGCTCAAAAGACGCACTAGGTTTGACCCTAGTTGGGAGCAGAATCTCATTGTGGAAGGGAATAATGTTAATATTATTGTTGGGGCAACAGAAGTTAATGCCCTTGGTGCCTTCATTCTGTTTTTTACCGCATCTTACATCTGTGCAGGCATTTTTGAGTCGGCTTCCATCATATTTGGTGGGAGTCTAATATGGAGGTCGAAGCTTTAGCTAAGGAGTGTGTTGCTGACTTGGGGCCCCCGCTAATCTCTGAAGCTTGTCTTCTCCTTTCTCTTCTTTTCTCATCCTCGCCTCTTATCCCATCAATCTCTCTCTCTCTCTCTCTCTCTCTCTCTCTTCCCCTCTCAATTTTGCACTGAGTGCCCGGTTTTTGGCAGCTGGCTTTTTTTTCTCACTTCAAGCACCAGGCTTGGGCTGCCCGTTCTCCTTTTCTCTCTTGCTCTGAGAGCCTAGTTTGTGGGCTGCCGCTCTTTCTCACTCTAAGCACCTGGCTTGTGGGCCGTCCTCCTTCTCTCTGTTCTAGTCCCCTTTGGAATTAAAGTTCTATAGGTCTTGGGATATCCTCAACTTCTCTTCCTATACCAGTGATCAGTAGTTTGTGGGTGGCATCCACTTTCACCTCAACCCCACCCCCCGGCGGCCCTTCTTTCCTTTTCTCGTGCTTCTTCACTTCTAGCTTCTTTTTATAAATTGTACAGAACTCCATCTGCACTATCTCTCCACTCTCCCTGTCCCTATCTTCCTAATATATCTCACTCTCCCTATGTTCCTAACCTATCTCCCTATCCCTATGTCTTCACCGCCTTTCATTTCTCAGTTTTCTCCCACTCTCCCTCTCTTGACACCATTTCTCTCCTTTCTTCTCTTTGCCCTCTGTCACTTCAATCGATTGGCAGAGTCTTCATCTTCTGGATAGCCTATCACTCTCCTTTGATTCTCTTTTTTTCATTGTACAGAACCATTTTTTGTAGAAGAGACCTTTACTCCTTTTGAGCACATTTTGTAATTACCTATATATTATTATTATTGCCACCAATTTCCCCCAAAAAGAAAAAAAAAGAACTTGAGAAGGTAGAGCATCTAGTAATCAGTAATTGAAATGGTAAAGCATTTACTGTTCACATTCAAACTGTAGCAAACTGGAATATTGTTAGAAAGAACTGTGGAGTACAAGACTTATTCAAAGTTTACATATTCCCAAGTATCAATGAATGTCTAGAGATCAATGCAAAATCATCATGTAGAAAGTCTCATTTGGCTAAGCATAGAAAGAACACTTTATACAAGCCATAAATGCAGAAGAGAATACAGAAAATATAACATGATAGGGCACAAAAGCAAGAACACAGAAAGACAAAGCTAATAAAAAGTTTTCTTCAAAGAAAAAAAAAAGCTAATGAAAAATTGATGAGAAAGCTACTAACCGATCCATGCCATTCAGCACGATGAACAGTGCCAAAAGAACCTGTGAATCAAAAAATGAAATGATCAACAAAGTCACCTGGAGCTTTCACATGATATGAAGAATGTAGCTGCAGGAATCTCCACCACCATGTTTGATGATTGATAAACTTGGATATAAGCATAAAGATACCTGCACCAATGCGCTCCTTGATATGCAACTCATCCCATGAGATCTCAAGCCAATCCATGGCAAGAGAGGGTTCAAGGTTCAAATAACCTGGAACAGTGGTGGAAAGATTGTTCAAGCCCTCACAACTCTTGACTTTCTTCACATGCTCTTGATCCCTCTGGTTAGGCATTTCTAACTTGGACTTGACAATGCTGTTCTTAATAACTGGAACACACTGTGGATTACTACATTGTGTAACACATGATTCCCCACTAAAGTTGCCCCTATTGACACAATCAAGCTCCACCGACCCTGCGACATGAGCTGCATGCACAATAACATAACAGTTCAGATCTGCTAAACTTCAGGAAAATCAAGTTTATCGTAGATACAACAATAAAAATTAAAACAGATCACTGAACGCATTCACCCAAAAATTATTCCATGCATGATAAGACTAGAATTGATTAAATCGTGGTATTGTGGCATTACTATACAAAGGATCACAAGAAAATAATGCCATTACAAACAAAATCAATAGATAACTAAATCAGCACAATTTGGCATTCAACAGGAAGAAAAGCGACAACTAGGGAATAGAGTGTCAAAGGAAAAATGTGAGGAAGAATGAATACATTATCACTAGTTCAAATGTCTAAAAAGCTCCATAAAAAACACTATACAATCCAGAGAAAAAGAAAACAAAAGGGAAAGTAAAATGCCCTTGAAATTAGAAAGAGCACATAACATATAAGAAACTGGAGTCCTATTTGGGGGGAAAACAACATTAAATGATCAGAAAAACATGACAGCATACAATTTTTACATGATAGGAAGAGTTAAAGATTGCAACAACACTTTTTCAGCAGACAAGTTGCAATATCAAATGAGTATATATTTCTCAAACTTTTAGAAGTTCAACTCAAGCACAACTCATATGGTAGGCCCAAAAGGACATGGTTGGAAGTAGTGAGACAAGATATGGAGACTTATGGCCTCACTGAGTGTATGGCCCTTAATAGAGCAGAATGGTGGACTGGGATTCGTGTAGCCAACCCCAATTAGTTGGGAAAAAGCACTGACAATTATGAATCACTATGCATGTTAAGTCAGCAGTGAACAAAAAAATGTGAACGGCGAAAGACCCCGGTTTACCCTTGAGATTGAATGCAATCAATGACAGGTATGAAAGACCATACCACCAAGATTCTGAGTATCCCCTGAAATCACAATCTTGTGCTCAAAGAAGGCGCTATCTGCATATGCTTGTTGACGATGTTTCATATTTGGAATTCGAAAAGGAGAAAACATTGGTGAGGGTGAAGGACCGTTGATGAACGCGCCTGGGTTATGGACCATTCCCGGATCCGCAACCAGATCAATAACATACTCCCTATTAAATGAGAAACAAAGAAAATATATGTGAGCAATAAATATAATCACTTTAGTTCTTGTAATATTTAAATCCAAAGAAACCAGCCTCAAAAAAAAAAAAATTTCATTATTTTGTTGAGCAGAGAAGGCCATGGGATTAGGTACTCCAAGAAAATCATAATTTAGTCTTGGATCACATTATAATAATCTGTCCAGATTTGACCTCACAAATGGGTGATTAAGTTGCTCACATTCCATACCTGCTGTTCATCCCGTTTCACAATAAGCATTGCATATGAACAAGGAAGCGGTGGAATGTGAAGAACTGCATATTGGATCACTTCGGTGTAGTTTGAGAAGATTCCATTGAATGGAATCTTTTCAAACTACACTGAAGTATAAATGTTACAAAATATTTCTATTCCAGAATGTCTAGATGATAAAAGGAAAAGAAAATGAATGCAGCTAGTGCATCTAGAACAAAGTACAAGGAAATGCAACACCACGCTCAGCCTTTCCTAAGTATTTTGACCCCAAATGAACAAATACAACACAAGAACAGTATTGGTTGTTCTTAGAACAACAAATCATAGAAAGAAAGAACTAAATGATACAACCCTATATGGAAGTTGATTTTGAAATACGGTAACAAGGACAACTGTGGAAATGGTCAGCATTCCAATTTGATCTACCAGTTGCAATAGAGTTCTTTAACATACAAACCGATTGATAAGCTCAAGTACTTAAAGATTATGACAGAGGAAAGAAGGGATAGCAATAAAAGAAAGTATAATCGGACTAGCAACTAAAAAAAACTTAACCAATAAACTACTATATTACCCTAAACTTAAACCAATAAACTACTATACTACCCTGACAGGTCAAAATAATCTAAATTCTAGACTCCAATTAAATAATTTGTAAAAGATGCATCTGACAAATCAAAATTTTAAATCAATCAGCTTTAGAGTATAATAATTAATTGACTAGATTACAGATTCACGACTAATAAGGAGTAATTTTGTACTGCACACATATTACATTTCCTTGGTAATAAAAAAAAAGGGAAAAAAAAGTAAAGAAAAATGGTATTCAGACAAGAAATTTGAAGAAGCGAACTCCGCTTACCTGTCAAATCTAAATTTAACCAGGCATGATGAAGCATATTCTGATGCACAATAGGTGCAACCTCGAGCAATTCGACATGGCAAACCTATATGATCAGCCAGTGCCTGCAGATGTATAACAAAAAGAGAACACCAATTGGTTGCGCTGCATAATAAAGGAAAGCATGTACAACTAAATTGAGGAAACTAGTTTCTTCATTGGGTCCAGTTTTAAGGCGCCCAACCATCCTCAGTCCACCTTTTTGATGAATTGAGGCCCCAAAAACCTGCAGATCCATCCTCTTAACCTCCAATACCAAGATCATGGAAAAAAAGATGGAATGAGGCCCTAAAAATTTGTCCATCTCGATTTTTATCTCAACATCTGATCTAGACTATCCATTCAATGGACCCCAGATCAATAAAATTTGCACAATAGAAGCTAAAAATCCATCCCTTTTTAGGGTGAAATGAATTAGCAAGGGTTTAGTTGGAATTTTGTGTCCTCATACTATCAGAAAGATGGATCCTGAGGGGGAGGAAAGAAGGGAAAGGGGGGGAAGGGGTGTTTTGGCTGCCAGGGCCTTGCCAAAACATTTCCTTCTTTAATGCATTGAAAAGTAACAACATCAGTGCCCTATCAAGCCAAGGTTGGAAGCAGTTTGTCAATTTCTTGTTCCAAGGGAGACATCCAATCTGCATATTCTCTAAAGGCTAGCACTAGAGTTATAACTTAAATGTTTTCCAACGCCTACTAAGTTAGGGACCTGTAGTTGATGGATAGACATTGAAACATAACATATAGCACTGGGAAGAAGAAGTATCCTTGGTACAAATGAAAAGGCTGATGATTCTTATAGATATGTTACACGAGGCACAGCACTGTAATTTACATTATTAGTTTATTACTTATGTAACTTTTATTACAGCATGCAGCAATTAGGTATTTGGGAATAGTTCACATACTCGAGGCATAAAGCAAGTTTATAATTGCATGTAACTTAGCCAGAAAATGTTACTTGCATGTAACAAGTTTATAATTGCATACAACAAGTTTAATCAGTTTATAATTGGCGCGTTGCACCAGGCACAACATTATACTTTACATTGATACTTGTGTAACTTTTATGAAGTGTGCCACATATAGGTGTTTGTGCATAGTTCATAGACCCAAGGCATAAAACAAGTTTATAGTTGCATATACCGTATAACATAACGAAAAAAAGTTCATTATTGCATATATGCGTATATTATCATTCATAAATCAATGAAGGAAACATTTCACTGATTTTCCTGAACCTGTTTGTTTTTTCTATGGTTTTCTACATTGTATTATAGGTTAGAGCAGGTTTTTGCAAGACCAGTTTCCTTCTCCTATGAGAGCGAAGAAATAGAGCAAGATTCACCTCAAATCATACTAAGGAAAACTGGCAGCAGAGTCAATTCGCACTCACAAAAGAAAAAACCCATTTTCAATGTCGTTCTTGGGATTTTGGTCCCAGTGTGTGAAGACGCACATAGTGTGAATTGTGTTGTGGATTTGTGGTTCATCCACACCCCTGGCCCTCACCAAAAGTTAGGGAGCTGAAGGATCTTCAAACTACGTGTCATGAATCATTTGATGTCATGAGTTAATAATTATGTGTATTTTGGATGCAAGAGGTTCTCATTTAACTGATTGTGTGCAAGGCTCGTACAACATGTTCAATTAATTGAATAAGAAAGCCATCTTTGTTAAAAATTTAATATCTTCATAAGGAGACAAGTATAAATGAAAAGTAACAGTAGTAAGATACCAAGTTGCATACAATGTCAAATACATATAGAGAAGGCTGTTAACATTCAGGTTTTGATAGCCACCTTGAACAAAATGGAACGGTGCCTGCAGAGTCCCATGGAGAGGCTCCCTATTGGCAATACACAGCAGCCTTGACAATCCCGTAATTTTTTGTTAGACACTTGCCAGTGCATAAAGAGATCATGCTCCAGTGGAAAAGTGCCCCTTCAAATTTCAAGAAAACTTAAGACATAGCATTGGCACATTAAATTGGATATATTCTAATTAATAGTAAGTCAAAATTCAAAACTCGTCAATACGTACCCCATAGAGATGCAAACAAGTCTGCCAAGTTTATTCACCAGCTCTAAGGTGCTTACTGTAGCATTGTACAGATATAGTGCTTCGTCCAGGAGTTCCTTTAGGTGGGAATCGCGTTCTTTATCAACAAGAACCACCTCTAAAAATGAGTTATTTGGATCTACTTCTTTCAATGATGCTAGAGATGGCAAGCATGTTCTTTCCTCCATCTCATTGCACATCATCCATAGATATGGATTCATTCCCATAATATTGTAAAATCCGTCAGATATCCTATCAAAGTATGATAGGCATCCATTCACCTGAGAGCATACACAAAGAATGAAGAATAAATTACTCGCCATTATCTCAATCTATAAAATAGATCTGTGTTATTGTAAAACCCATGAAATTGCACAACAATCAACCAAGTGGAAATTCTTAATCCACCAGTATGTCAATTGATTGCACAAACAAATCATAATCAACTCATTCGTTAAGTAAGTGAGACTTTGATTTGTCACACCCATGAGAAGGTTACTGTCCTACATCTCTCTCTGCTACAAAATATAGTGTCATGAGCATGTCCACCTAATGATCAACCCAGTGGAGAAAAATCCATTAGTTTTCCATAATAGAAGGAAGATTAAAGGAAACTAAAAGAGAACATGAAAATACAGATGCTAAACTAAGGGAAGAGTCTAAACGATGTCTTTTTTTGTTTTTGAAAATTTGTGGAAGGACAAATGTGAATGTTTAACTACATTTATCAGAACTGGTCGACGTTGAATAAGGCTGTTTTTAAGATTGACCAGTCTATATGGAATCATTACATGGTTATGGCTGTAGTAAGGCTGCGTTGATCGGTAAAGGAAGTGGGTACGATCGCATGTCTGGCATCTTTTGGATCCTTACGTACAAAAAGGGGAGTGGTTGCAGCATGTGAATTTATTATATTTTCTTCATTTGATTGGAAGCATACCACCCTTAGAAGCCAGAGACAGCATGGGAGGAGTATTGTGGGGAGTAGCGACAGCAAATCTTGAAAAGAAAATGCCATACATGACACTGAGAGTGCCTACCTCATAGGCAAGAATCAAGTACTTTCAATGTAGAATCACACTAACTCAATGGGGGTCTCTAAAAAGTGAAATGAAGTGCATTTTGTTCCTGTGTTGTTCTTTTTCACAGGCTAGGGGAACCATTATTATATGGGAAAAAGTTTAAACATTCTCCTTCAGCTCAATAACAATCTTGTATCAATGACTCTCTACCATTAATCTAATCCATGCTATCAGGAACAAGGATACAACAAGAATGAGACCATGAGAAACATCCCTTTTAAAGCCAAAAATGAAACCTCCATGCCTCCAAGATGATGTGCAGAGAGTGAAATTCTCATCAGTATTTTCTTGATAGCCTTAAATTATATTTTCATCTCTAATTATAAAATTTAAAGCTTAAAAAATATAGTGTAGATCAAGCAGATCTATGAAAACTTGAAAATCTTGAAAACTGACAGTCCTAAAATGCCGTACAAGATGCACTATTTCCAAAACTTGAAATCTATTTTTTTTCTCATGTCCATGCATCTTGAGGTTGATATGATCAATTTGAGGATATTTGGGCATCAAAACAACCTATTCTAATGAAATTTTTGAGGTGCGCACTAATTTGATTGTTTAGAGCCTCGCACTTATATAAACATTTTCCTTTAAAAAAAGGCAGCCAATCCTAGCACTATTTAGAACCGTGATCCGAGCCAGTCCTAGCACTATTAGAAACGTGACTGGCATCAAACCTAAATCCTTATTCCGATTACCTTTAAGAAATACCAAGCCTTCATGATCTTGCAAACCAGGTTCTTTGAATTGTTATTTTCCTTTACTTTGCTTACATTCAAATTGTACCACACGTCAAGGGAAAATTTGCAAGTCTAAACATGAAGCGTACAAATGGATAAAGAGTGATAGAGATTTTGAGATTTAGAAGATAGTAGGAGATTGCATATTACGTTCACAAAGATTTTGATGTTAGAAGATAGTAGGAGACTACATATGATAGGATAAAAAAACAAAAGATACAGTGCTTTCATTGCACAATTTTTATTACACACTCCAGTCATGTTTCCAAATGATTCAAATTGAAATTTATATATATTTAAACCAATCCATAAGTTACAGATTTATGCACCTAAAACATTAGTATTTGAATTTGTGGTATTACGATCCCAAAAAACCCAGATTGAGATTCGATGAGGGTGGCAGCAAGATTCAATGTTTGATTAATTCGGGGTTTCTCGCATCTACGAATCACGGTACTTGATGTTTAGGAATCTGGATTTGAAAACAATTGATTTGAATATCATTACATGTGGAATCCAGATTCAACAAATGTAGATATTAGAAACAAGATTTTGTAAGTGTTGTAATCGAGATTCCTAAAACAAGGAATCAATATTCCTGACTTCATTGAAACAGTTTCTATGAAGATTCCTTGTTGGAATTGGGGAATAGGGATTACGAATCGGAATCGCAACTTTGGGTGAGAGATTCCAGTAACTATGAATTAAACTATATGCCCTTTCATAGACTTCCTACTTTTTTGGAAACCAACTAAATTCAAATGTTGAAGAAAATTTGAGTACAAGTACATCAAAACAAAAGGAAAAACACTGAAGTAACCCATCAAATTGGTGCAACCTTTCAAAGACCCATTTGAACCAAAGCCAAAACGCCCCTCCCTAACAATCTAGCCTCCAGCTTCCCTCAATCTATACCCCTTTTGTCCCTTCATAGATAATCTCATTAGAAACTTTTGCCATAAACCCCATTGCCTCTTTTCTAAACATTATCCAAGCATAGCCTTGTCAAAAGCCCATGTCAATCACTTCAGATATCACATCAATCATCTTTTACATGTTACGCATCTTACACATCTAACCACCTCTCTTCGCATGTCACTTACCCTGTCCTTGCGAATCACAAGGATCACAGTGGCATTAAGCCATTCTTTCATTTCCCTTTACCACATTTGACATGCTAGAACTCCATGTGTCAACATCACCATAAGGCATCCCATGCCCGTTTGCTCTCCTTCAGTATCTTCTGCACACCAAACTCCTTCATTTAATTATTATCCATTCAGCTCATTGTAACACCACATCTTCTTGTTACACATGCCCAGAGTTACCATCAAAAGCACATATTTACTACATCAAACAACTCAATCCTATTTGCACAAATGGCTCCACACCTTGCCTTGTATTGTTCTAACCAAAGATTGCGATCTTCTCTCCAGGCTTATACTCCTTCCTATCAAGCGATCCCAATTGCAAGTTGTTTACTGCCATAACACTCACTTCTCTCCTCATTATACACCCTTGTATGCCCTCTTGTTCCTCCACCCCCTCTCAGCGACTAGACATGACTCCTTTCTGCATTGTGAATGGTGCCTCCAAAACATCACCACTAGTTCAACAAATCAGGTACATGCATCGTGAATGGCTCCTTTCTGCCCTGAAGCCACCACCCTACCTGCCCCCATTTTTCCTACTCCACACAAACTGGCACCATTTCTCCAACAGCCCTTCCCCCACATTTCTATTTCCACATCTATCCTCATCTTGGGAAACTGAGATGCACCATATCAAGATGCATGTCCCGAATCATTTCATCTCATCCATACCTGTACTCCACTTTCTCTAAATAGATCTGACAAACCATCATAACATACACCCAGACTCCTTTTATGCAATCCTGGCTCTACACCCAACCATTATTCACCAGTTGCAAGTTGTCACTGCCATAACATTAAGTTCTCTTTCCACTATACCCTACTGTATGCCTCTCATTACTCCAGTCCTCTCAGTGACCAGACATATCGCCTTTTGCATTGTGAATGGTGCCTCCACCATCTTACCACCAGCTCAGCAGCTCAGGTACATGCGTCGTGAATGGCTCCTTTCTACCCTTAACCCACTACCCTTCACTTGACTCCATGTTTTGTCCCTCCACACAAACTGCCGCCCTTTCCCCAACCACCCCTCCTCCACTTTTCTATTCTGACATCTATCCTCATCTTGGGAAACTGAGCTCGACCATCTCAAGATGCATGTACCCAACCCCCTTCATCTCATCTATATCTGTACTCCACTTTCTTTAAATAGACCTTTGTTGTCAGCTATCGTCCTTTCACCCATCCCCCTTGCCACCATCATAACATACACCCAGACTCATTTTATGCAATCCTTGCTCTATGTCCAGCCACCATTCACCAGAAGACCAAACACCCATAAAACCCCAAATCCCCTTCTATAAAGACCCCATTTTGCACCTCCTATGAGTTATGGCAGGTTAGCCATGTTTCTTTCCTCTGATCTTTGTACCACATCAACGCCTTCTCCCAAAGAGCCAAAACTGATTAACCCCGGTGACTATCTCAGCTTCTCTCATGCCATATCCTCATTTATGCCCATAGGATCCTCAAAGATGCTAATCCACCACATCTCTGCTCTTCATGCCACATCCAGCCACCCCAAAGAGAACCAAATCAAATCTGTCAATTCAATTGCTCTCTATCCTATGTCAATCTCAGCACAACCTAGACTCTTCAAAAAAAAATTTTGTAGAATACATTAGACAGGATAAAGAACCTCATTCATCCAAAGACACTCCCAACTGGCCAGTTGATGACTCAAAGCAACTCACCATCAAATATGGTCAGCGCCAAGAAACTATTAACTCACACTTGAGGCCTTTAAAAAGAGCCCCAATCTCATTGAAAAATTCTTAAACCCTATCATCCAAGAGACATGCCTACACAACAGTACCATATGAAAAAAGAAGCCGAAAGCACTAAAAGAAAGAAACATTAGAATTATTGCCATGAGTTAACAATCTCTAAACATGATCACCATCATCATCATCAACATTAGAGCCTTTTCCCAACTATTTGGGTTAACACTCTCTAAACAAATTAATAAATATGGGCACTGATTCATGGAAACAAAATGGAGTTAATGCTGCCATTCATAGAAAAGAGACTTTTCCCAGTATGTACGACGTAAACACCTCCTGCATCTGTTCACAGTTACATCTAATGTTACGGGACTCAGTCGAGTCCCCTCATACTAGACCAAGTTACTCAAACTCGCCCTATGGCAGAGATTGAGTTCCCCTAATTGTAGGTACATAAGAAAAAATTATAAAATATATAAAAAAAATTTAAAAAATATGGGAATTGTGTATAATTTTTTTATAGGATTTGGATGTTTTTGGCGATGATTGGTGAGTGTTTTTTGCTATAATTACTATTTTTATATTTTCCTTTTTATGAAATTTGTTTTTCAACTCTCCCCATCTATAAATCAATTTTTTTAGGTCCATTTTTTCTATAATTTTTAAGCTTGTTTGGACTTTTTAATGTTGCGTTTGGTTTTATTTTACTTTTATTACCTTCATTTTATTATTATTTTTTTTATAACTGTTAACAATTGTATTGAAAAGAAGAGAGGGATACAAGAGAAGAGGTATAATCCAAGAGTAACTAACACCAACGACTCCCGGTAAAAAAGAATAGGTCAGCAGACCGTATACAAAATGGGGTTATAAGATTATCCCCTTACGAAGTATACTGAAGATGTACAAAAAGAATCTAACAGGACCAAAAAGAATCTACCTCATTTTATTATTTAAATTTTTCCAGAGCTTTTTTTCGCTGTACAGGGGACTTGCCCACTCGGACTCGCCCGAATCATTCACCTTGGCTAAGGGCCAAGTACCTCAGCCAAGACGAATCTCTAAACACTGGTTATATCATATGAATCTCTACACATCAAAGCAAACTGTGAAACATGGGGAGTGCAGTAACCAAAGTGCTTCAGCTGGAAACTCCTAGGAACTAGTCCACTTTTCCAATAGTCCAAAAATTCAAATTTTGAAGGAAGCACAAATTCCAAGCAATCCATCACTCAATAAAAGCATTCTATTCTACAACCACTAAGAAGCATATCAAATATATAAAATTCAAACGATTTATCATCCATGATAGCATACAATTCCTCTACTTCCGCTCAACAAAGGATATCAAATCTGAAACTTTTCATTCTAATCAACTTAATATTTCAAATTCAATTGGTGATTTCATCAAGAGTAGTCTTTTCATGGAAATATGAAAACAAAAGCCACAAAGACATACCCAAAAACGATAGGAGACTGCCTCCACCTTGCTACCGTACTCTTGCAAATTGTTCTCCTCATTAACCAGCATGGCCAAATGTCTTGCGTGCGCCATCTGTAACCAATAGCTCTCTTGAGTCCTCAACACACTAGCTCTCAGTCCATCATCCTTTATATACATCCCCCCAAAGCGGCTGGGAAGTAAATCCAGATTAAGGTTAGCTTCACAGTCGCTTCCATCTAATATCCTATGAAACTGACAACCTAATTGTTGAACTTTATTTCTACCTGGGTCTTCCACCACAGGTCCCCTATTATACCAAGTTTCATTGAAATCCATCCCTGAAGCCCAATTTTCGCTAGAACCACTTCCTAAAAGCACCTCATCATATTGTTTTTCAAGCAACTGATCAAATTTATTTTCCAAGAAGTTCCTGGCTAAAAGTGGATTGACATCAGAATCATCCAAAAGCACCTGAGAGGAATTATTTCGAAATTTTCCATTGGATTTAACCCTTAACATTTCGCGATTATAGTAATCTCCCATATAAATCTTTGGCAATACACCATTTTTCCCAGAATTTACACCGATAAACACCTGATCAGGTTTATTTTCACGAAAATCCCTTGGAGACAAAGCAATGGAAGTGTCTATACCAGAATTTGCCAAAAATGTTCCACCCCACTTCTCTCCACTACTATTTGTCATCAAAGTTTTGGATTTTCTACTGTAATATATACCCGAAAGCACCTCATCAGACTTATTCTGACCAAAACCAATCACAGGGACATGATCTCCACTGTAGTTTACATCTGAGAACACCCCATCATTGTCACCAAAATCGATCTCAGGAAATGAATTTTTCCCATAATTCTCCATAAATACTCGACCACATTTATCCTCACCATTTTTCATTGAGGAGACAGGATTTCCACTGTAATTTATGCCAAAAACTTGCTTCTCAGCGTTATAATCACCAAAAACCGTCCGATTACCAAAATTATCCCCAGAGTCCATATTTCCATGGCGAAGCAGAGCAAAACCAGTTGCAGGAGCAACGGATGGCCCAGATGGTCCCTCCCGTGAACGATCTTCATGGAAATCTTCCCCTCCTTTGATCGGACGGCTCCTGTTGAGATCCAGGCTCTCGCAACGAGGTAGGAGGCCGTAGCCCAAGCTCCTTCGAGGCATGGACACGGGCCTCACGAGAAAGAAGCAGAGGCTTTAACCACACGCTTTCTCTGAACTGCATCTTCCTGCGAAAACCCTACCCTAAAATCCCAAGTCCTAACAAAATCTCACAGGCTTTTATCTCTCTCTGCAAACAATAACAAATACCTGTCGAATGGGTGACCGTTGCAGCCACAGGAGATATGATATTAAGTGATATCCAGAATATTAAAATAACGATACTAATTCCAGTTTTTAATGTGATTATTGTGTTAATTAAATTTTTTAAGTGATTTTGATGGAATGAGTGGATCTTCGGTAGTTATTATAGTTTACAAAGAACAGTAGAGGAGAGAGAATGAGTGAGGAGTGATAATATTTGGAATTAATTGAGGGTGCGAGTTTGTAGAAAGTTGAGGCTCTAAACAATCGAAGTAAAACGCTCTTTTGAATAGTACGCTCTTTTGAATAGTATCGAGTAATGTGGTTTCAATAATAATAGAATTTTTTATGTGATGGCCTTAAAATATCTTTTCATCTCTAATTATAAAATTTAAAGATTCACAAATAATGTAGATTTATGAAAACTTGAATGTTTTGAACATTGACAGTAAAAAAATATGTTAGCAATATTTTCAAAACTTTAAATTTTTTTTTTTTTCATCATGTTCATGTATCTTGATGTCGAGACGATTAGTTTGAAGATAGTTGGGTATCAAAACAACTTGAAATTTTTAATGTGAGCTTTAAGTTGATTGTTTAGAGCCTCGGCTCTATACGAACTTTTTCCATTAAATGCCATGTCTACAATGGCTCCAGAAAAATCCGGACTTGAAGGTGGTGGATTTCAATTTAAACCCGATTCAGTTTGGCTTTAGAGATGTCCTTAAAGCTAGCAATGAGTTGGACGGCCAGGCTCGGCTTGAAAAACTAGAGCCTTGGCAACCAAATATGACTTGAGGATCGAGCCACCATCGCTTGAGGGGTGGCTACCATGGCCTGAGGCCCTGAACACGATGGGCTTGGGTCAAGGGTTATGACATGGTAAGTCCAACCTGGCTCTCTTATTCATTTGTTTTTTCTTTTGGGTCTATTAGGCCTGGCTTTGGGCTAGGGCCTCTACGACCCCTTCCAAGCGGCAAGCCTAGACTAGCGTCTAAGGGCCAAGCTCGAGGCTGGACTGTTGCCAACCTATCCATAATCACTTTTGAGTCTTTCAATATCGGAAAAGGTTAATATAAAGGCGTAAAGCCTCACCTCAAAACTCATCTAAAATTTCAGTTTTGGCATCGAAAAACTTTCAAATTAATCATCTTGACCTTGACCATCATAGATGTAATATATATACATATATATTAAGATTTCAAATATTAAAAATGATGTATTTTATACCATATTATTTAGACCATCTATATTTAGGTGTTTGTACATTCATGAGATCGTATACCAATTTTTGAGTTACAAATTTCATAATCAACCGTGAAATGAATTTTAGATCAGTCATAATGATTTTCCATGTCCAAAATATATTTTAGATTAGGGTTCGAAATGAGGCTTTACTTTTTCTAATAAAGCCTAGGAGTCTAGGTTTTATAGAAATCACATCCATCAATATTTTACCTTTTTATTTTATTTTATTATTTGCTGACCTTCAATAATGGGGATAAAATTGGGATAATGCTAATGATGATTTTTTTTTGTTATTTAAATGTTTGAGATGGGGCATCATAAATACAAATTGACTATCCAGCTCGAATCTCTGGCGTAGTCCGAACTTGCAATAAATGTTTCCTCTCTCAATCAAAAGCTTCGGCTTCCAAAAGAGATAACTACAAACTTTTGTGTCTACAGGATCCGCTGAATGGATCAAGCACAAAAAAGTTATGTGTCGGCTAAGGTTTGGCTTATAATAATGATTAAGTGTTTGCATTAAGACATTTGACAAATTTTTTTTTTGGAAAAATTGTTAAAAATTTTTTAATATATATTTTCTAGACACTCTACTCTCGCCCTAAATTTTTTCACTTCTTTTTATCAAAAACCATCTTTTCTAATTAATACACCTCCAACTCAGAAAATGATATCTTTTTTTACAAAAATACCCCTTCTTGTACTTTCACCGTATGAACAAATCATTTAGACGAATCCCAATAATACTTTCACCGAACTGCGGCGTTATTTGCCAATTTTATGACGTATGCAGGATTGCATTTATACAATATCGGATTGCTTATTTAGACAGTAATACACCGGATCGAGACTACTAACTCCGGGCCACCCTACTCATGTATTTAAAACGCTGGACCGAGACCATAAAATGTCGGACTTATGTCTCCAGTAGTAAAATCACCGGAGCAAAGTGCAGTAATGCCGGACTGTGAGTAAGATATTGTCAAACTGCATCCTCCCAGTGCCAGATAGATTGACCATAACGCCGGAGCGCAACTGTGAAATGCCAGACTTAACATCATTCCAGAAACACATGCCGGACTGCCCACATTACAGTAAACATATCGCCGGACAGCGTATATGCACTGCCAGACAACTCCATAAAAATGCTAGAGTGATTTTATTACGGTACGCAAAACGTTGAACGATGCCCACAAAATGCCGAACTGCCTACGCAAATGCCCAGATTGCCTATGCAAACGTCCTTTTTAACGTAGAAGTTAAAAAGAGGGGGTAATTTTGCCTTTTTTTTTGTTGTTCAAAAAGCGTGTAATTTGTATAGAGCCGAGGCTCTAAACAATCAAAGTAAATCACACTTTCAAATAATTTCAAGAAATATAGTTTCAATACTAGAAATCTTTTTGATAGCCTTAAAATATATTTTCATCTTTAATTATAAAATTTAAAGCTTCAAAAAAAGTGTAGATCAAGCCAATCTAAAAAAACTTAAAAATCTTGAAAATTGACGGTCCAAATATACATTACAAGAAGCACTAGTTTCAAAACTTGAAATCCATTTTTTCTCATGTCCATGTATTTTGATGTTGAGATGATCAATTTAAAGATATTTGAACACCAAAACAACCTCTTTACTGAAATTTTTAAAGTGTACTTTAATTTGATTGTTTAGAGCCTCGGCTCTATAAAAACCGCACCCTTCAACAAAAAATACTTGTCTTTCTTGAATCCTAATTTGGGGGATGAGCTGGTGTCATAATCAAAGTGATGAAAAAGGGGCCATTTGTATAGGAGCAAGAAAAAGAGGAAAAGATGCACCCACGTGAAAAGTAACAACTTCAACAAAAGTCTCCAATTGGCAAAAGCCACTTTTAGAAATATCCATGTACCACACGTATGGCTGCGGTTATTCAAATTAGTTAGTGGGAGAGTAGTTTATACTACCTCGGGAGAATCATGATTCATGTAGTCGATTTCAATTAATTGAAAAAAATTAAAATGATGATAATGATGAAGTCTTGGGCTAACCTGAAAAGTTCATACACCTCTGTAAAAAAACGATATGTTATCCAATTTTTTGAAAATTGGTAGGTGAAATAGGGCGATGTGAGGCGAGAATAATTTTTATTGTGACCTACAAAAGGAATCTCAATCTTAATGTTTTTAGGCATGATGAGTTTGTTATCTCAAGAGAATATTTACAATTTAGTGACATAAATAGGTATGCATCCAAGTTCTTCTGAAAAAAATGGTCTTGGATTACAAGGATCTAGAAGATTGATGAGAAATCTTGCTTGTATAAATATACAAGTATAAGCAAGATCTAGAGTACGCTCTTTTTTAGAGACTTTCTACATAGAGACAGTAAATAGATGAAATGTTTTCAACCCATCTACCCAGAATCATATCCAATTGCTGATGACTTGGCTAAGAAAGGAGTTTTTTTTTGCTTATTTGTCTATTTCTTTTTCTTTGTTTTAGATTTATCATTGTAATAGTCCCTACGATTTTATAATAATATGGAGAACTAAAAAAGAAAATACAATAACACAACGGGATACCTGAACGGTTACAATGAGCCTCATCGGGTTCCCAAAAATCAACTGTAATGCACACTTAATACTTAGTAATTTTCCATGGCAAAAATACAACAAAAATTGCGATTGCCCAATTCTTGGAAGATCAGATTCAACTTTTACGGACTCAAAACTTTTTTTTCCTTTTTAAATAATCATCAAGTGATTCTGAAACAGATTCCAATATTTCGTATAAAAAAATATCTTAAGTAAAGCCCTTTACCTAAGGAACAAACATACAATTTGATCCCATGGGATTACGCTATATGAAGGGGTAAACGACTTTCATGTGCTGGTCCTTTTCTTGGTTTGGTGAGAAGTGGGTGCAAACAAACGACAAGAGCTGTGGGCTCACGGAGAGAGGAGCATTATTGAATGTTGAGAGAGAAAAGCTTGCAAAAGGTCGGTCTAGAGAGAGACGAGTTTTATTGGATGTTGAGAGAGAAAAGTGGGCCTAGAGAGAGAGAGAGATTTCAAGCCACAGGTAGTGGAGAGAGAGAGAAGAGAGTTTTCAAGCCACAGGTAGTGGAGAGAGAGAGAGAAGAGTAGTTTTCAAGCCACAGGTCGTGGAGAGAGAGAGAGAGAGAGAGAGAGAGAGAGAGAGAGAGAGAGAGAGTTACGACGACAGTAGAGAGGAGAGAGAGAGAGAGTAGTAGTTAACGCACGACGTAGTAGAGACGACTAACGTACGTTCGTTTACTTTATTTTTTAG